TAATTATGAGGGTCAGTTATTTAATAAACAGTTTGTTATTAAAAATAATAATAACTAATCTCAATGGATTATGATTATAAAATCATGTATTACCTGTGCTAGAGAGAGACGTATAATATTTTAAACATTTTTTGGTAGAAAATTATAAAATATTAAAAGTAAAGTAAATAACTGTAAGTTATTGGATGTAAAAATTTATTGTATAAATAAAGGTGTGTTTTATATATTTATAATAGTCTGTTTTTAAACTAGGTACTACTGTAAATACCAATGTTAACAAAAGCTACCTATCATAAATCTATATTTATACAGTAATACAGTTTTGTTAAATTAGTATTTATTACTTTTATGCAATTGACATTAAATATGAATTCAATTGTTATACAAGTTTGCAAAAAACTGCAAACAATGCAAACCAGACATAAATGTACCGGATACTAAATGAACCTAACTTTGTAATACAACAGGGTACTAAAAGTCAAAGAAGTTAATTCATTGCCATAATAGCACTTCACTTATAATAAACGGTAGATAAAAGTTATGATAAATACGTTTCAGTACTAATGACACTTAAAACATACACTTAAGTTATATAATAAATATAAGCTAGTACCTCTAACTTAAGTATGTAATCCCTAGACATTGATATTAAATAAGAAAAATATTTTCAATACAAAATAAACTTAATTTAATTTATAAAATTATATGATTTATGACCATTGATGCCTATTTTTAGCACTTATACAGTGCACAAAATACACAGAAAAGACCTTGATAAGCACGTTATACGATATCCAAATTGCACTAAATAAGCACTTTAACTACTGAATATAATTTATTATATTTAAACATTGTCAGATTTGCACTAAAGTTTAGTGCACAAAACTACCATACCTCATGTGCCATACCATACCTATGTGTGTATGCTAAGGTACATTGGAGCACCATTACCACCGCAAACATACATGCGCGATTAAATAGTTATTTTGGCATATATATAAACCACCAAAACAAATATTTTTCAAACCAATCTCAAGTGGTCTCTGAATAAACATAATTGTATCGTGCACAATTTACAAAGTTTTTGACAGTAACTGTAAGCCATGACTGAATTAACCGCTAATAACTACAAAAAAGGTTTGCATTAAATCTATCGTAAATTAATAATTAATATTATGCTATGGGAAATGTGTTTATAACATAGCATGCTAGTTAGTGTTGTTTTTAAAAATTATTATAAAATAACTAATAAATTGTCTAATGAATAGGTGATCCCTTCCCGCCCCGCACTGACCTAAACAAACTGCGTGTGTATAGCTACCAGACGTGTCCGTACGCCGAGAGAGCGCTGTTAGTATTGGCCGCCAAAGGCATTGAGTGAGTATTCAATCAATTAATACATTATTTATTAGATTTCTTTCCATAACTTTATGACAAAATAAATTATTTCTCAAGAATAGCGAACTAATTATTTAATTGCTAAATCATCCAGAACAGATAATTTACGATAGACTAAACTATACTGTAGTTAATCTAATAAAAATAGCTTAGAAACTTACAAATAAATAGTTGTATTTTTAGTTTAATAGTATGTAGGTGTTTATTATACTAATAATCAGATTATACATACAATACTAGTAAACCTTAAGTTTAAAAACTATTTTTTAACATTTGATAATAAGTTTTAACATGTTTTTGATTACTATTTCTCCAGACATGAGATAATAAACGTGAATCTGAGGGACAAACCCGAGTGGCTCCTGGAGCGCAACCCTCTGGGAAAAGTACCGGTGCTCGAGATCGGTCCCGACAACAAGATCCTATACGAGTCGCTAATAGTGGCCGAGTATCTGGATGAGGTCTACCCCAACCTGCGGCCCCTACAGCCTAAGGATGCCTTTCAGAGGGCCAGCGATAAGGTGTTCATCGAGACGTTTGGTAACTCTTACAGCGGTTTGTATGCCATATATCGCACCGAAAACTTGGCCGACGTTTGGACAGACATTACGGAGACTCTGAAAAAAGTGGACAAACTCTTGGCTAAGAGGAGGGGCAACGAGAAGTTTTTGTCCGGTAAGCCCTCCCAGACATACATTTCCCTTAAAATTATTACTTAATTTAATTGAAGTTTGCATTAAATTAGTAATAGTTTTGTATTTGTATAAAATTACATTGCTAAATTATAAACAATTACAATTTGTTAGTTAATTTACAATATTAGTAATTATCAAGGTCGGGTACTAATAAGGTTTTATAAAAAATAATTTTATCTAATACAGTAGATAAATAAATACTAGCTTAACACAATGTATAAAACTTAATTTATCTATCACAGTATAAGTAAATAACCACGTTTCTTATTATTTAATTTAATGTTACTACAGGTGCCGCATTACCAGGATTAATAGACTACGCCATATGGCCATTCATTGAGCGCCTACCCCAGTCCATAGACATTGCTGGCCATAACTCGGAGGAATTCCTACGCAAAGAGTTGCCCGCAGTTCATGACTATAGAAAGCAATTGCTGGCCGACCCGACTGTCCAAAAAGTGAGCCTACCCTACGAGCAACTACTGGCCCACACCCGGGAATACCGTAAAGTTTTGCTTAAAAAGTAGATATTTTTGGTTGTGAGCCTTGAATCCAATTAATTTGATGTACAAAAGTTTATGACATAAATAAAAATTAATTCATAAATAATTACAGTTTTTGTTAATTAAATGTTTCTCATTTATATGAATACTGTAGGTATTTGTATTTAATAAGTATGGTGATAGTTTTATTCAAAGTACATTACTATAATATAGTAATTGTAGATGGCGTTATTATGTTAATAAAGTTAGCAATTATATCTTTTAGATAACGTGTTAAGGATTTGTAAAAATTAAAATTATATGAATACTATTTAGCACAATAGTTAACTAATTTAATCTTGGTAGTTATGATCAGATTAACGTGCTATTATTTAAAAGGAAGTGGATCAATAAATTATTATCTGGTTTGCAGTCGAATAAGCAACAATTTATTCAGGTATATACTAAATCAGTTATACCAGTAACTATTTTGTAGATTATTGTATTTATTAAATAAAATATTATATTATTATAATATTATTATAAAGTATTTTTATGTATTTATAGCAAATTTAATTATACTCAAAATGTTTTTAAATTTTGAATGTTATACAGTATCTTAAGAAATTAAATTATTAGGATAAAAAACATGATAACATTCATATTGAAACATATAAACATACTTTTGTATGATTATTGTAAACTAATGATTACAATTTTAAAATTTTTTTAAGGTACACAAAGCATTATATTGAATGACAAGTAGTATGTATTTTATTTTATTTTTTAAATTCAAAACTGTATGTAATACAGTACTTACTAATCAAAAATTTATTTTTTTTAATATCTAACAAAATATTATTTTACCAAACCCAGTACATAAGACTTTCGCACCTACAGTGATTTTTATTTACCAGGTTGGTATATAAAGGTCTTGCATATCACAATTTGCTTGACAATCTAAAATTTATTTTAATATTTATATAACTATAAAATTTAAGTAAGTTTTAACTATAAAATAGAGTTATGCCTATAGTTACAAATGACAATCCTGATAAAGTTTACAAAAAAGGTAAACAATTTATTAAGAGTCTTAATTTAAGACTTTCAAATTATTTTAAATAACTTACTATGTTTGTGACACCTTAATAAATTATCCATTTGATCCAGGTGATCCCTTTCCAGCCCGTGTTGACCCAAACCTACTGCGCCTATACAACGTCCCGCACTGTCAGTTCTGCGAACGGGTACGGCTAGTGTTAGCCGCCAAAGGCATTGAGTACGTACTGTAGCAATATTATATGTATACATTAATTAACTGGCTAAAAAGCATATTTTTACTATTTATCAAACTATTATTTCACAACTACTTGGGCGGCCAGTCATGAAGTAATAAATGTGAATCTGAGGGACAAACCCGAGTGGCTCCTGGATCGCAACCCATCGGGCAAAGTACCGGTGCTTGAGATCGGCCCCGACAGTCAAATCCTAACCGAGTCGCTCATAATTAGCGAGTATTTAGATGAGGCCTATCCTGACAAACAGCGCCTACAGCCTGAGGATGCCTTCCAGAGGGCCACCGATCGGCTGTTTATCAAGACATTCATCGCCAAAGAGACTGTTATTAAGCATTTGTTCGTAACTGAAAACCTGGCGGACAAGTGGACAGACATTATGGAGGGACTGACAGCTCTGAATAAAGTGCTGTCTAATAGGCGATGGATCCATAAGTTTATATCCGGTAGTGTACGCAGACATACCTGTATATATTACCTTGATAAATATATTTAAAATAAATTAGTAAATAGCATTAAACTGATATTATTATTAAGGTACTATTTTTGCATATAATAGTTATTTATGGATTTTTTAAAATAATAGTATTATGCTAGATTATGACTTTTCATATGCTACAGGTGCTGAACAGCCATGTCTGGCCGACTATATGGTGTGGCCATTAATCCAGGGATTGGTAGTATTGGTAGACCTGGCGGGTCAGGACAGGGAGGAACTTATGCCTAAATGGTTGCCCGCTCTATACGACTACTGGCGCCAAATGCCTATCGACCCCATTGTCCAGAAGGTTTGTCAGCCCCACGAGGCACTGGTAGCCCGTAATCGAGACATGCGTTCAAAGCTATTTAAAAAGTAGTGCTAATCATGTCGTGAATCTGTATTTGTTTTGCTTATTATTAGTGATTATATTTTAAACAAGAATTTTATGTTATTTTAAAACATTAATAAAAGAATATTCTGAATATTATTTTCCACTCGTGTAATATGCATGTAATATGATAAATAAAATAAACAGGATATTAATAGGAATATGAAACATTTTTTTGCGAATTTTTGTAAACTCATGATTACTTTTATTATATTAATATAGAATTTCTAAATTCATAGATTTACAATGGTAATTTTAAAAAACAAAATAGTTATAATTTATATTGCATGTTTTATGTTTTAGTAAAATATGTTTTTAAATTCATTATTATTTGTATTATAATAATATAGAATTTCTAAATTCACCAATTTACATAGATAATTAAACAATAATTATAGTTCATATTGGTGGTTGAACGTTTTACTAAAATACTTATTTAATAATAAATATATTAAACAATGATGCCGTTTATACACTTTACTTTAGTTTACCAGCGATAGTTTAATATACAAATACCTGTACTAGTAGCATTTAAAATAAATTCCTTAAATGTATTACTCATCTAAAATCATCAGGCCAAGAATTTGCTATTTGTATTAAGTGTCGGTGCGGTCAACCAAAACCCAATCGCCATCCCTCTCAGCCTCCCTCTGGCGGTGTTTATGTCTAATCAAATTCAGTCGACTTATTAAATAGCCTTTGAGTTGACGGAGGCGACGGAGGCGACGGTTCTCATCCCGGAGTCCGATGTACTCCTCGAGTGAGTCCGTGGTCTCCAACTCCCGCTTCCGGGACGACACAAACGTTTCTTCCGTTTTCAGGCGCCGGAACTCCCGGGACAGGCGTTTGTGCTCTTCGTATATATCCACGGATTCCTTGTCATTAGTGTCCGGTTGTATGGGCTGTAAGTCCGACTCCAACACCATATATGAGTGGAAATCGTCGGGAAGTGGATTCGTGGGACCGGCTCTGGACGGCTCGGGACGTGGAATGGGATTATCTCTGGGAGTGATCAACAGTTTAGGCCATTCGCATAGACCACCACTCGCTTGTGGTGATTGGGAACTACTGGGAGGGATCGTCCGGTTATCGTTCAGACCGATGAGTGAACGCCACTTATTGTGCGAGGAATGGGTGGAACTGTCGGTTATAGAGACAGGAGTTCCGCTTGACTTCGAGCGCCTGTGTCCGCGAAAAGACTGATTTGATTCGTCGCCCACTCTATGGGTCCGCTCTTCGGATATTTTTCGGGGTTTATTGTGTCGTAAAAAGTCTGAGCTATAGTTCGCAAGGTTTATAAACCGGGACACATTTGGGGGCTCACTATAAGTAGGGCTGTTTTGCCAACTTTGCTGCGGGTCGTGAGGGACGCCATCATTAGTACCGGTGTTTGAAACTGGCGGTTCAGTCACTCCCTGTCGGGGAGCGTCTAATATGGTCCCTATTTGTTGGCCTATACTGTAGTCAGTGGGGGACAGGCGGTTGTCGGCATCAGCAGCCGTACCCCTTGATTGAGCGATAGTGTGTATAATGGGCTCATTCGCGTGCTCTGAACAGAACAGAAATACCTGTTCCGTAGTCTTCACCACCGTTTCCATCGATGGTCTCTCTGTCGGCTCTTTAGTCCAACATTTTGTCATCAGATTCTCGATTACTTGCGGACAGTTCCGGAGGAGTGGTGGTCTCTGTCCACTGTGTACGGCCCACATGATAGAGTAGGCCGACCCTCCCATCTCAGCAAATGGCTTCTTACGAGCCAACACTTCCCACAAAATGATTCCCCAACTGAAGACATCACACTTTTCCGTGTAGTTACAGCCCTCAAAAACTTCGGGTGCCATCCATGCGGCCGAACCCTACCATTCATACAATTGTTCAATATTTGAGCCAAGTTTTATCAAATCCAGTCTCACAGATATGTAATCTTATAAGAAATATTTAAGTGCTTTTGACTAAAGTATAAATACTTTTATATCGTTTTTATAAATAGCAATTATTGTACTTGGCCACAATGCTATGAACTATACTGTTTGTTGCTAATTCACTAATAATATTATAGTAAACTTGTTTTATTCTCAATGTGGACAAAACTAGCCTATAGCCTATATGTTATAATGGATATAGGCTAGTTTTTGGCCACATTGAGAATAAAACAAGTTTACAATAATTGCTATTTATAAATGCGATAAAAGCTTTTATAGTTTAGTCGACACACACACAGAAAAGTTGCTTACAAGGGAAAACATTTGACACTGTATTTGATAAATCATTTATTAATATAAAGCTATCATCAAGGCACAGCCACTGACGCGACACTTACCTTATTATTGGTCATAGTTGTGCGGATGTCACACACGGTTCCGAAGTCACATATTTTAAGTACAGTCCCGCCGTTCACTAGCAGTAGATTCGGGGGTTTGAGGTCCCGGTGGACGAGAGCCTTGGGTCGCATTGCGTGCAGATATGCCACACCGCGAGCGCACTGAAGCGCCCACGAGATGGCGTGAGACAGAGTGTACGGCACGTGCGGAGCCGTATGGAGAATGTCGTATAGACTGCCGCCCTCTGCATACTCCATGACCAGAGACACGAACCCCGGGTCTTGAGTGGCGCCATACAGGCGCACGATATTGGGATGAGACACACGGGACAGTTGCCTCAACTCGGTCTTGAAGGCCCTCCACTCCCTGTCCGTCTCGATCCGTTTGACGGCCACCTCCTGTCCCCTCCAGACGCCGCGTCGCACCACTCCGTACGCGCCCTCCCCTACCACCTGTCCAGTCGCCGGCACACCACTCATTAGTCATCGACATATCATCGATAGCCGTTCCCCACACATACCTCTGCTAATGTGATCTCCGATGAGTTGATCTCATTGGCGAACACTGGCGATGAGATGCACCCATCCATCGGATCCGATGGACTTCTCATTGTCGGCAAATTGTCTCTAATTGGCGGTCGTGTGTGTGCGGACTCAGACATACCGGTGCTAATCAAGTGTTCAATACAATTACATACACTATAAATATAAGTATAGTCTATAACACTGTAACAGTAAGACATTTATTAAATAGTTATACCGTACTAGTAACTATTATCAAGATCATTTCAGTTTATTAAATTATATAATAGTATGACTGCCCATACATTACAAGTGTTGAACTACACGGGCACACTTTGTTTCAGTATTATCTGTATTTATAGTGAGTTTAATTTTTAGCTAGATTTATAGGGTTAGAAATTTGATCAGGTTGCAATTTGAGAAATTATTTTGATTGCAATACGTGACATTTAATATTTTAAAATAAAATAAACATTCATATATTTAAACACATAAACACACTTTTGTATACTTATGGCAAATTAATGATTGTAATTACCAGTAAATAATGACGTACCCATAGCATTATATTGACAATTTCAATTTGAAATACATGTAATATTTATTTCATTTTATTTTATTTTTTAAATTCAAAGCTGTATATCTGATAGACCAAAATCAAACGTACCTCTGACAAGTTGCTTTTATTTCTTATTGAAACATTGCTTTTGTGTAAAGTTTGAAATTTACTTATATTAAACCTTATAAATTTCAAACTTTACACAAAAGCAATGTTTCAATAAGAAATAAAAGCAACTTGTCAGAGGTACGTTTGATTTTGGTCTATCAGATATAATATAGTACAGTATTTACTAAACAAAAATTTATTTTTAATATGCTGAAAAATATTATTTAACAGAGACAAATTTATATTATGACACTTGCGCACTAACATTTTCAATTATCAGTTAGTAT